CCCTACATCATCAAGATCCCTATTTTCTTCTTAAATGCAGAATAAACTTCTAGGTATAAAAAATTCTAGATGAGAAAGCATTTATGTGACATAAAGCTTGCTTACAGAAAGATCTTTATTGACAAACTGGGCGTGAGTCCATGTGGACCTCTCATGTCAGCTCATTATTTCAAGTCAGCTTCTGGGCACAGTGGTTTGTAGACAGGAGTTACTTTGATTGCCACAGATGTCATGTGTGGCATGGATGGCAGTACATCTATGCCAACAGTGTTAAGTTCTTTGTCTCAACTAATACCAAATTTGAGGTCTGCAGCAGTAAATGCGAACAGTTGATGCTCTGTATTGAAAAAGCTTGTACTTTCCAGATAATGAATTGTAGCCTAAAAGGGTCTCTGAAGTTCTCACTGTTTTTCTTTTTTTCTTGTCTCAATCAGCAAAGAGTCAACAGTCAATGTGTCTGCCTGTTTTCAGTGGTATTGCTTCTCTCTCAGGCTGAGTTCTTCAACCATAGTCAAGGTTAACACTCAGGTTTTATATTTCATTTATGAACCTAGAAAATAGCATTTCTGTGAGCATTGCTATGCACTCAGCTCCTCAACTCCCTGCAATAGACTTTCAAGGGAGAGGACATGGTATATCAGGGTGACTGATATGTCTTAGGGCTGTAGCAGCACACACAGACTTCATTTCAATGCAGCTACTTCTGTGTAGGCCAATGCTTCTTGTATTTACACATGACATACTTCTGATCAGGTGGGTGTAATTTGTGGGCCCTTTTAATCCTGAAGGTGACTAATGGCCCCAGTGTAGATATAGTTACCTGGGTGTAAATTTAATTCTATTTATGTCACTGATTTTGTTTCCTGCACCCACTATTGCCTTCAAACAATGGTATTTTGCCAGGCTGGTAACTGTTCCTATGGCAAAACCTTCCAGCCCAGACAAGCCCTAGAAGGTTAAAGTCATTTCATTTCTTTTGAGATGGTTACACAATGGGCCTGAAGCTCCCTGCCAAATGCTATTTTTTTACAAAGTTGGCACTGGGGATATGAGCCAAGTATCACAAACCTGTGAAGCAGATGAGTGCATGTTTGCAGTCAGTGAATGACAGAAGAGAGATCAGCCAGCAAAGTTTCAAATGGCATCAGGGTATAGCCTAACTTTGCTAATGTTTTCTACTTCCTACTCCTACTTTTATCCTAAGATCAGATAACAAGTAGCACTTTTTCTTTGTAACAATTCATTAAACAGAGAAATGATCCTTGCTGGTGTTTAGATGTTTTACTTAATTTGGTACTTCTGGCCTGCTGCCCCAGTAGTGCCAAAATTATTATTTCTCACCCAGCAGGTGATAAATAACGACTTCAGTCATGATTAATACCATGAATTTCTCAACCTGACTAATGCAAAAAACTTCAAACCTGCAGAACAAGTGGGTGCTAATTGTTGTGAGAGCCATTGGAGCTGCACTCTGCTTATACAGAAAGAAAGCCACAGGAAATGAAGTGTTTTCTAGCAGTACAGCTGATCCTAAGAGGCATCATTAAGTGCAGCTCAGCAGCATTCTCCATGTGCAAGGCTATGCTAGTCTCTTTTTCTCCACAGCACTGAGGTTTAAGTACATTTGAGAGGCAGGAGACTGTCAGGTTATTTTTCTTCCCCTGGGGATGAGGAAATATAATAAAAGGCAGAGAAAACAGCAGATTAATATCTCATTAACACCACTCAATACTATAATTTTTATAACTGGTATGTAAAAAGTGATAGATCCTAGCAAAAGCTGCTCCCACCAATGCTCCTTCACATGTCTGTCTTGAAATGTCATCACATCATAAAACGTAGCAGCAGAGACTGCCCAGTCAAGGAGAACTTTCTTCAGAGAGGGACAGGAAAACCAGGAGACAAGGAAGGGCTGTCAGCTGGAAACAATGATCCAATACTATAAATTAGCCTGTGGCTGAGATCCTGGCCACTTTCAAATAACAAGCTGATATGCCACAGCCTGTGGTGGATCAGGGTGGTTGCTCTGTTTTCTGTGCTGTACTTGCAGTGGCACGGGGCACACAGATGGAGTCTACAGTTTTATCTGTGCATAAAATGCTGTGCTGGTCAGGCAAACAAGATGTCCACAACATCTGGAATTGGCACAATGTGGTTTTGACCCAGTAATGTCTATTCACTCGTAGTTCTGAGTGACCTGCAAAAGGCACGTCAGTTGTCTTGCTCAGCTCCCTTGCTATAAAGGTGTTTGGGTTTGGGTTGGTTTGGGGGTTGGTTTTTTCCACGCTTAGCTGGTTTTATTGCTGGTCTTGTTACAATTTTTCAGGGTTTTTTTCCTGAACTGTGCACAGCATGTCAGGAATAATTAGAATCAATGTCCTTTCAGTATCAGTGTCCTTTATAGGACTGTAGATTCCCACAGTTAAAGCATGGCTTATGAGCTCTGGTCCTTGGAGCTCAGCCCAGTCTGCTCCAGAGCACTAGTCCTGCTACCAATGTCATTTAAAAAAGCATAATGGTTTCTTGTATTTATGAAGTACAAAGTATGTCCTCTGGCTAGGATTTTAATAGCTATTTTCAACACTGGTAGCAAAGCCAAGATTTTCATTGTAAGTTTAGATATTGCCTAGAATGAGGTGCAGCCTGAACTACAAACCAGCCCTGTGGCAAACATGCTGCATAGAAAGAATCCTCTTCAGTCAAGGAAGTAAGGAATGCTTCTTTCCATTTAAATTTTAATAATTAAGTTATCAAAGTCACAAGAAACAAAGGGTGGTTAAACTTTCAGAAACTATTCAATCTAACCTGAGAGCTCAGTCTCTGCTTGTCCTCTCGCTTCAATATTGAAAACTCATGTGATTTGCCTGTCTCTGTATTCTTAAGTGCAGTCTGAGTAGCTCAGGTGGATTTACACAAACTTTGTTTGCAAGAGATGAGTATCTTTTGCCCAACCACTTCCACAGCATTTATTTTCTAGATGAGCTATTCAAAGCAGGTTAATGCATACCTCTGTGGGGTTTTTCTTTAGTACTCTGAAGTTACAAAGCTTGCTGTATGTTACCACACAAAATTTGCACTAACTCGCTGTGCAGCATTCAAGGTGGTATATTGCCAGTGCTTGCTCTGCTCACAGTAAGCTTGCCAAAATATAAAACCAGGGGTTTCATTCAATGCTCTTTCAAAGCAAATGATGAAATTTGGTTACAAGGTGGCTAATGGCCACTGCAGCCTTGAAAGAGGAGGAATACATGCCCACTTGCACTTTTTCAGACTGCATAAAAGTTAATAGGTGGGTTTGGAAATCCATTAAGTAAATTACTCCTGTAGTTCAGTCTGCTGGTAGCAGAAGAAGTGCCAAAACCACAGAAGCTATGTTAAAATCTTTCCTCCTGAATGGTGCTCTGCAAATAGCAAAAGACAAGTTTAATTTCTCTGGATTAAGATACTTCAATTCACACAGGATTTCCCCATCACCATGGCACTGCTACCTGTAGAGACTATTGGAGTGTTTTTCTCTCAAAGTAGCATGTATCATATTCCCACTAGACTAAGAAAAACCCCACAACAAATTTTTTTTCTGTTTTTCCAGAAGTTGCATTAATGCAGAAAAACTGGTTTGGAACATCTGGGTTGTCAGCTACCAACCAGTCTGATAGTGGAAATGGTCACTATGCAGTCAAGAGCTGATGGGGTTTAGTTTGGAAAGGTATGCAATATACATGTGTAAAATTCTAAGACTGAAATGTAAGACAAGGGCAATTTTCCTCTCCTGGCAAGAGTGATTTGATGAGATGCCAAGACCCCCTTACACATTAGTACTTAGGTGGATCTGACTCCAGTAGGAACTTAGGACTGTTGTATCAAAAACAGACAGCAAGAATTCAGCTCCATTTTCCAGCTGAACAAGTAAGAGTGGTCCTCTACAGTAGGAATGAGTAAGCAGCAGTGGTTCAGGAGTCTCAGAGTCAAAGGAGGCCCAGCAAGACCAAGGTACGTTGCTACTTTCTGCTCAGTTCTTAAGAGAGAAAGAAATGGCAGCCAAAATCTCATGGCCATTGCAATAACCACTTCAAGTCATTAAGTATTTTGACACTGAAGTGGTGTAGTCAAATGAATGTATTTCATAGTAAGAAAACACAATGGTCCAACTAGCCGAACAGTCTGAGCTGGTTCTCAGTTGTGCCCAGGACTTGCTGAGCGCACGAGGACTGTTTTTGACACCAGCACATTCCTGGGGTTGTTGGTGCTTCTGGAAAAGCATCAAGTACAACTGACAAAGCATCAGGTACAACTGACAAAGCAGAATAGAGCCCTGAAATATTAATCCTTGCCTACACACAAAAATTCTCCCTTGAAAAGTTCCATGTTGTCAGGGTTTTTGGAGCACTGCAATGATACTTCTTTATTTACTGCTGTATCATTGTGTCTACATGTACCACAGGGTAACATGGAGCCAGAACAACCAAGGCATGCCAGCCACGGTCTCATAGCAGGTCCTCTTCCTATGAGAACCACCCTAGCAAGAATGTCAAAGTTCAGAAGCAATATTAACATACTGGAAGTGGAAACAGTGAGACAGACACTTACCTAACAAATTAATTTCTTAAATAAACAGCAAGACAAGCTGAGGATTAAAACTTGGAAATCCTAGGGAGAAAAAAAACATTATAATAAAAACCCCAAAGATGAACTAGAAATAAAAACAGAGGCAAGACACACATAAGAAGGAATGATGGCCAGAAGCTACTTCGACACAAAATAAGAACTGCCTGAGCAAGGTCACATCACTTGTGTGCTGCAGAGCTCCAAGACATTTCTTTCATGCAATTTCTGAATAAATTATGGCTGAGGTAAACTTAAATCTCTAATGAGTCCTTTCATTCCCAGCTTAATAATTCTAACTAGTTTACCATACAACTGTCTTCCAGGTGCCATGCCAACAGGATCCCACTCATTAACTACACAGACATTAAACTTAGTAAGAAAGGCATTTAGAAATATCAGAGAGAAACTTTTTCAAGTGTTTTATTTCTTTGAAACAGATACAATATTTTTCCAAGGTCATTTCACAGTAAGTGGCATACAGGCTATTAAAATGGAAGTGCTCATACCGACTTTCTACATTGTGCACAATATATTCTACAAAACAAAAATGCATTTAAAGATTTTTCTTGCTTCAGAATGATTTGGCAGCTTCAAAAAGCTAACACACGTTTCCATTCTCAAAATCAATTAATCAAACAAAACCAGAAACTGCAACATGACCCACTCCAACCACCTTATCCACGTTAACCATGATTATCTCAGCAAAGACCTCTTGGCAGATCGAGCTGCAATTGCAGAGCTGTCTTTATCATGACCCTCAAAGTACTGCTGCTCTATTCGCCGACAAAAGGCTGTGAGATTACTGTAGTTCTTCACTTTTTCAGAGAGCTCATCGGTGATTAGTTGAGTAGTCAGGATTGTGAACAGATGTCCAAATACCAGAGCATCTAATTCAGTTGGTCTGTAAGAACAAACAGCAAAAAAAAAGGACAGTAATTTTGGAAGGCAAGTCCTGCTCAAGAAAAACCCTGCTGTTCTGAGTAACTTTTAGACAGCCATGCAGTCTAAGAACTGGGATGAAATCAGGCTACACTGAATTTACCAAATGCATGCAAACTGTGTATACAGTATACACACTACTTGTTCTCAGTATGGCATTTGCTTTGCTTTGGGGAGCTTAGAAATGTGGAAATAACACCTAGATTAGACAGTGTTACTGATCCACTATCAAACCATGCCCCACCTTTTAGTTCCGTACAAGGGCAAATGCTTATCAGGTCTTTTGAGTGTTTTCATTTTTCTTCTGCAGATGTATATTACAAGAAACCCAGCTATTATCTCACAAGTTAAAGAAAAGGGAAGGGGAATAAAACCCCTACTCCTTTTTTTTTTTTTTTTTGCTTTTCAACAGTTGGGAACTATCGAATCAACAGGAAAAGGAGTTCCATGGTGGCAGCAGCTGGAAACATCTCTTTCGCAAGAGGGGACAACACACAAGAAAACAGATATTTTGGGAATGTTTTCAATCCTACCTTATTCTAGCTACAAGCCTGAATTGTCACCTTAGACCTTTGTACATAAGTAGTCCATGTGCAAATAATTATTTTCTTTTTCAAATATATTAATAACTTAAGAGTACCTCTTTACTAGTGTTCAAGGTAAGTAGCATAAGGCTTTCCTAACTGATAAATGTTTTGCCTTTCTATTTGTGGATCACTAAGCACACTCCAGTGGAGATGTGAATCACTGTATAACAAACTTTAATCTGTCAGCAACAGGCTGCTTTTCTGATTTACCTCCCACAGACTCCCGAAAGTCATTGACTGAAAAATACCAGACTAAGAAGACATACTTTCTTACTAATACTTCAGACAGCTGAAAAAGCTTAAAGGTTGAAACTGTACCAAGAAAGCCTGGGTAAAAAACAAGAAACACAAAATCCCCAAGCTACAATTCTTTAGAAACATAGAAATAAAATTTAAGAGATATTATGTTCAATAATGATATGAGAAGATACAATTTAAACTTGTCTTCTATAAAGCATAGTTCCGTATCCTCCCAATTTACACTACCCACCTAATATCAACTTGGAAAAGATTAAGGGGCAAAGAAAGACACAGAAAACTAATCAAGACCATGTGCTGCCACTTGAATGCATCTTCCTGTCCAAACGCAGTAAACTGAAATCCAGACCTGAGCATTTCTAGACTGACCTATGCAGAGGAGACAAGTAGGAGCTAATGAGATCTTATTTAAGTCCATAATATTTAAAAAATATTAAACTATTGGAGAGAAAAAATATATTTTAAGTATTTTGCAACAGAAAGAAACCGGTGAGAGCAGAGGACATCCCATGAAGGTCAGGTCATTTCTTTTTTTTCTCCTGGCAATGTCAATCTTGGTTTTCACTTAGCATCTGGTCCTTTGTGGACCAGCTAGCTTGTCCCCTAGTTCTCAGAACTCACAGGCACCCTCATGCTAGTTCAGTTCATTCAGAACTGCCCTGGTGTTAAGATGAGCAAGACAAGCTGTCCTGGTCAGGATGGCACAACATACATTCACTCCTCTAGTAGAGAATGTTACCCAAGCAACACAAATATAGCTTTAAATGTGTTATTTTTAATAAGAAATTTACTGTATAAAGGTACACATTTGTAGCCTACATTAAGTTGTGGTAGATTCTGTAGAGAAGACAAGCAGGAGTAGAACTAAATAATAAATGGGAAAAAAACCCCAACAAACTTACAGAAACTTTCCTTTTAAACCCTTTAAATACCTATTTCTGAAATGTCATGTTTAGATTCCAGTCACACATTTGTATTTTTGCAACTAATCACTCAGCATTAAAATAAAACAGGAGCTTTATATATATATATGTAAGTGGGTATATATCTGTATCTCACATTCCTGGATGCAATATTTCAGTAAAGAGCAACTTACTGCTTATTGAAGAAATATGGTTGTGTTCCTAATCTCTGGGAGAGAGCTTGACAGCACTGATCTACATCTTCAAGCACCTATCAAAACACACAAGAGAGAAAAATCCATATTGTCAGGAAATATCAACATTGAAAAAAACCCCTCCTTGCCCTATTTGCACTGACAGTAGGAACAAGGAACATACCATGTTGGAATATCAAAAGCTGTCAAAGTCAGTCAAACCTACATAGTAGGCAGGTTGCTAAGTGTTACTTAACCTGACATTTGATGCAAGGCAATTCTCATTAAGTGCTTCCCGTAACATTTGTAACTAAGCTTAATGAAAGGTACTTATACCTTGAAACTTGCCACAATCCTGCCAAGTGTGACTAGGATTGTCATACAGGAAGTGGGGAAGGGAGTTTACAACTTATTTTCAGGACTACAGCCTAAACTAACACCAACAGAGATGTGCAGCCATGGTGAAACATCCTTCCCCCTCTCACCCCATCAGGTTGCATGTACATTAAGATTTATTACTGCTGAAGGCAAACACCTGACTCGAGAAAATGTTTTAAGTGCAGAATATACATTGTACTACATCTGTTTAAAGAACATACTACTCTCCAAAGCCTATTGAAAAAAAAAAAACGAAGAAAAGAAAACAGAGTAAAGGAATAAGCTTCACTTTTGACACTGACCTGCTCAGGTGTCTTTCCAGCCCATCCAATGGCTTTCATCTTTCGCCTAACCTCCCACTGCTTCTGATAGGACAAAATGCGGTTAAGAGGCCATGGGTAAGGGGATCCATACCTTGGGTGAGTAATCTGTTTAGAAACAGAAAGATCCTGTGTTATAATATAAAAAAATACAGGTACCTCTTGCACAAAACAGCTAACACTGAAACATTTCTATCAGAAAGGGAGCTGTAAAAAAGAAAGGGAATTCTGTGGTATGCTGTAATTATTTGCACAGAATCTGTAGTTTGCAGCATAACTAAAACTATTACTTCACTATTACAAAACCCGTATCTATTCTGCAATCAGCTACCTCCAGGAATGACACAGGTTCCCTAAAATGTATATGCAAGCGAAATTAAAGTGAAAAGACTGTATCATTAATGGTATAAACCTCCATGTTTCATTTATGAGTAGGGACTTGCAGTTGTGAGCAAAAGTGTTTTCTCATTAAATTTTAATTAAGATAAATGCTGCGGAACCACTCACCTCCTCTACTGTAACATCATCACACCACTGGAGATACAGCTAGGGAGAGAAAGAACACTTACTGAAACTTCCTAATAAAGAAGAATACAGAGACAATCATTTTTCACTAGTAGAATTTTCTTTTCTATATTAGATTAAATTTCCATTTCATTTCTTCTGTTAGACCTCTGAGTGTCAAAAAGAAATTAAAACTGAAAGGCAAAAGCCCAGTTAGTTGCCAGTCCTTACTTTACCAGCACCAGAACTAAGTGGAGACTGAAGCTGGCTCTGACTGCCCATGTCTCACACAGCTCAAGGTGCAGGTTACCAGTCCTCAACTCCTCAGCCATCTGCACCTTGCCAGCATTTCCAACACTGCTCCCACGCTGAGACTGCATCACCTTAACTGGCCACAGACACGAATCACAGAGGATCCCAGCCTCCCACTACACACATGAGCATGCTGGCTGTGGAAAGAGAGTGGTGTGCCTGGTCAGGTGTGGGTTGGGGTAGGATCCCAGGAACCACTACCATTTTCCAGTTGATTACTTCTACAGCTGTGTGACACACTTCAGTTAGGTGAGGAGAATCACACGTGGCTTGTGTCTACAGGAACACCTAAGCAAGCAATCCACAGAGTACAGGTAATTTATTCCTGCCTCCTTTCACCTCAAAAGTTGTTGACGTAATCTAAGAACAGCAGTATTTCCACTACAGGAAAAAATCCTAAAGCTCTCTTGCCTATAGTCGCTTCTCTAAGTGTGTGGAGTTACTGTGGCTTTTGTACCTCTGCTGTCAAGAGCATATTATTGACCAGTTCCATGTAGGCTTTCATCTCAGCTTTTTGGACTTCATCCAACCCATCACTGAGAGAATGGCCCTAATGGGAAAAAGAGGAAAGACACACATATAAGAAAGGATATTGGAATATTCAACAACATATGACCCAAGGACCTTTACAGTCAATGAGCTTTGGCTCAGATCCTGATCTCTTACATAGGTCAATAACAAATTATATATGAAACTTTTTACATACAGTATCGTTTAGAATTTAATAATCATAATGTAACTGATCTAATCTACAAGAAATTTAGACTATTATCAGTTATAGATGAACACACTTTGAGCACACAGACTCCTGGTTAGTGTATCTCTGTGGCAAGAAGTAAACACAAATTTACACCTGTGATAGAGCTTCATCACAGCTCAGTGAATACACAGTATGTTTTAAAACAGAGGGGAAGGGTAGGGATGTAGGGGAAACAAAGGCAAATTTGAACAGTACCTGATACTTCAGGATTTAAACCAATCAGTTCTGGGTTTAAGAGCTCTGAGACCCAGACACAAGACATGTAGAAAGAGAGTCTCAGAAACTGGCACTGATGCAGCTGTCCTGCATAGAATTTACTTCCAGAATTTGAGTAAATTACAAATATTTTCACCTCACAAACTCCTACTCCAGGACACCTTTCTTTTAAAACAGCACTAAAGTCCTAAACTGTTTTAACAAATTCAGTAACATTCCAGAAGAGCACACCACATCAGCACAATGCTAAGCAGGATTAACATAATAATCACTAATTCATTAAAACAGTGTACTGTTACCTTGGCTTTTACAAACTGGACTATGGGCCCAAGTTCAGATACTACTTGATTTCCCACATGAATAAAGGGTACTTTGCCTGTAAAATGAGAAATGTATTGTAATAAGAAGTTTTTTATCCTGTAAAACATCATTTACAATTTCCAAAGTAATTAAATATTGTAGGTATACCCAAACATCAGTGTCAGTGTTTTTTTCAAATAAGCACAGATAAAGCTAACACACACAGCTCACTCAGTGAATATTTGAAATAACAGACATCCTCCTCTTGATCTTCCTCCTCCTGAAACTCTTCTACATGCAATACTTGGAATTGCGTATTTCATATTACTGAGTGAGATCCACTGATTTCTATTTTAGTAATGGATTTTGCTTTGCTGGAAAGACTTAATTCAATGTTTCACAAAATCATAGAATGTTAAGGAGTTGGAATTGACCCTACAGATCATCTAGTCCCAACCCCCCCTGCCCTGGGCAGGGACACCTCCCCACCAGACCAGGTTGCTCAAGGCTTCATCCAGCCTGGCTTTGAACACTGCCAGGGTTGGGGCAGCCACTCCTTCCCTGGGGCAATCTGTTCCAGTGTCTCACCACCTGCATAGGAAAAAAACTTTTCCTAATATCCAATTTAAATTTCCTCTTTTTCCATTTGTACACATTACCCCTTGTCCTGTGCAGTTCCTAACAAAGAGTTTATCTGAAGTACAGCTGGGAAATCCCAGGAAAGCAGACAGAGAACCTTGGCTAGTTTTATGACATGGTTCATTTCCACCATCCCTTCTAACCCACTGGTGGGGGCAGCTCTGCTGAAAGGACAGTGGGAGACATGGCACTGTGCCCAGAAAAGCAAGCAGAGAGAAGTGCGAACATACACTCAACAAGGCAAGGGTCTTGATTCTCCCCCCTCCTCCAGTCGTTTACATTTCTAATGGCTGGGACAGCCAGTTCCTGTTGGCTGCCCCTGTCTTCACCCTCTAGTTCTTAGTTGACATTTGTGAGCCCCAATGGTCCTTGGGTCAGGAAAAGGTTCTTGGTATGAGACCCACAGCTTCACGATCTGGGGGGCTGAGAGAGGGAAGGAGCTTCTCCATAATCATGGAAGCAAAATGGAGTTAAAGCCCTGAGGGTCCAGCATGGAGCAGGCCTAAAATTGGCCTATCCTCAAAAGGAGACTGGGAAACAGCAGTGTCAGTGGTGGGATTTGTGGGATTTGCAAAGGGCTTCCAAGTCTGTACACACCACCTTCTCTGCTTGGTAACTTTTCTTACACACAGAACTGAGCCAAAGCTTTAAGGCAGATACAAGAGGGAAGCCCTGCACTCACAGCAAGCCATGAAGCATGACAGAAGTTGCCCTGTGCCCTTTTTCCCCGTTCTCAATGTGTGAAGCTGAGGGCTCCTGCTCTAATCCACACTAACCAGGTTGCTTTTCCTTAAAATCTTCAAGTGCAATTGACAGACATCAATCATACATTTAAGACTAAATCTTTTCGGATTATTTAAATTATTGAAACAATAAATAAAATGGAGATAAATGCTGAATGTTTTGTAGTACTGAAAATGTCCTCCAGCCCAAAGGTAGCAAATAAGTCTGCTCAGTACAGTGGGCACAGGACCCTTTTACCTTCCTACCTCTTGTCATAGGCAAACTCCACTCTTGACAGAAAGCTCAAAGAGCAGGATCAGTACCTGCTGACTCCTAATATGTTATTAGCAATACATTCACTCTTTTCTCTGAAACACAACCTACTGTCCAGCGTAGCTCAAACTCTGTTCATATTAACATCAGATTCAGTCATGTTTTTTATCATGAGCTTCACTTCTCACTAGTCAGCCTAAGGGTAATAAATGACATGCATCATACCAACAAAGGCTTCATCTGCATCCACACACTGCACATTGCAGAAGGAAACACAGACCTCTGTGCTGCAGAATACAGCGGTTTCAGTTAGACTGTGCTTCACACACCAAGACAATCCTCTGGTATCATCATACTTTTGACTCCCTCAGAATGGGTTTTGTCATTACAATGACTATGAGATAAACAACCTTCCTGCCAAAACAATGAGATGCAGATCTTTGTCTGCTGCTGTGAGACAGAGGGTGGTGGGGAGGAAGAAGGAAACAAATTAAAACCTTCTCTGCACTATCATTAAACCAATATAAAGATAAGAAACGAGGCAAGTGAATAAAAATAGTAAGGACTTCAGGAGTAAGGGCAAAAAGAATACATGTAATTCTACCTACATTTAAAATTGAAGCAGTACCATTTTCCCTCTTGTGCTCCTTGTTTTCAGTAGAAGAAGGAAGTGCTCAGACCCAAATTACAACACCAAATGCCAGTAGTTGTGGACATGGGGTGTGAGTGGCAGAGAAACGAGAGCATGTACCTGTCATCAGTCCTAGTGCTGTGCATGCAAGATGCCCCTCATTGATTCAGCATTTCAAAGGTATCGTTACTTACTAATAAATAATTTATATATCTACGTATTTTTCTGTTTCTTCACTCCTGCCAAGCAACTGTTTGGGGGTTTATTTGTTGTTTTTTTAAAAATAACCTCATTTCACTGCTTTAACCAAAATATCAGTAACTGCAGCAGAACCCTTACAGCTGGCAGGCACATACTGCAGGCACTTCCATATGGCAGTCATCAGCCAGAGCCAGGTAATCAGTAAGTAAGTACCTCCTCACACAACAAAAATCTGAGCCAGAGTGTGAGGGTTGCCAGACTTCTGTGCCCTGCATTCTGTAACTCTCTCTGATTTTTAGGCACCCTTCTGAAGCTGGCATTTTTAGGAAACCAGCCACCTCAAGCAAAAGGTAGGCTCTGTACCCTTCTAATACTTAAATTTATTGGTGGTGGGTTTGGATTTTTTTTCCAGATGGTCTCACAGATTCTGAGCAAGATTTAAAATCACCTGTCACCCATAACAGTGACAATGCACCCTCGGTCTCTTGTATCAACATCCTGGCAATGATCTCCCAGACAGGGTAACAAAAGAGAATCTTTCTCAGGTGTTGTCTCACTGCAGCAATACGAAAATATAGCAGCATTCCTTGGATGCACAATAAAGCCACTTCTGGAAATGCGAATCTTTCTGCTTCAGGACACAACCATTTTCAGGCATTTGAGAGAAGGCCTCCAGCAGGCACTGAACTGTCTGAATGCAGGTACTGCAGTCCCAGGCATGGCTACACATTGTGCCAACGTTATTTTGCATCTCACTGTTGTGACTCTTCGCAGAGAAGAAACTGCACTGGAGAGGAGGAGAAAAGGCAACACACTCACGGTAGCACTGCCCGACTGTTATCAGCACGACAAGGCATAGTTGCCATGGTATCAAAAATGAGGTATAACATAGTAATCTAAATGAAGGCCACACTTACCAGATGGGGACATGTACTCAGCATTTGCCCTGCAAACCACCCGGACTGGCAGATTGCACATTTGCAAAAAGGCCTAGAAACAAAGAGTAGCATTTTAAAAGCATTAATACACCAGTGACAAACAAATGTGGAGCTCTCAATACAATTTGATTGTGTTGGCTAGTTCCTAGCACATGTTTATGAAGTATAGCTCCTTACATACTGTTTTTAGGAAGAAGGAATAAGAGTAAGTAAAGGAAAAACAAGGGGTTTTTAGCTTCCTTAGACAACTGGTTATCATCTACTTTTACTGTTTTTTCAAGATGAGCACAGAAGCAGTCAGTATCTGGCAGACACTATTAGTGCTGGGGCTGCACAAACACAAGTGACATTTTGCCCCTCCTGAAAATCATAGCACTTACTTCTCCTGGCTAAAGCTGTCCAATCAAGTTCATGTTGTGTAACATGGCAAACACATATGGCACATTCTCATATTATAATTGAAATGGCTGCTAGAAGTCTTGCTCTGTGATACTGCAGAGTACAAGTCTGCCTTAGGACAAAGTACTTACTAATTTTAATTTATGGGATTCATGGAGAATGTATGTGATCAATTTACCACCTCTTTTAATCTGTATTCCTAGATTCAAAGCATTCTTAGCACGATAACAATTTTTGTCAGTACCTGCCATCACCACAAAATCCATAGTGTGTTTCTGGTGAAATACCAAAATATCAAGAAACATATTTGCGATTTAGACAGAACATGGCAAATAAGGAATCTCTTAATCTCTGGAGACTCTCACAACTCAAAGTCATATCATTTTGTCTCTACAATTAGACAGGTCACAATTCTGCATTCCAAAATTATACCCATTTATCCACCATGGCTTGAGGTAAAAAGGTCTACAGCAAGAAGGCTCCCACCATGAAGAAAACTGCTGCTGGAACACAGATCTTTCCACATGAGCCTACTTCTAGCTCTACAGATTGCAGGATTTGGCAGTAAAGCACACTCTCACAGCTTTAGATGCTCAGACTAATCGCAGACATGAAAGACACCTAAACCTTAACCTTGAGATTGCTCGTCCCTGCACTAAATGAGACCATAAGGCATGAACTAAGACTGGCATCAGCCCTGTTCCTTACATCACGGCTTATGTAGTATCCACCACGCAAACAAAAATGGCCCAAACAACCCCTCTCCTCTCTCCTGTGCTCTTCAAGGCCTTTACTCCCAAATCCTATCCCAGTCCAGGGAGAAAAAAAAAAGCCAAAATCTTTGGTCCTTTTCCAACCAAACAGAAGAACTGCACAGTCCATTATATTTGGCTCTTGTAGGTTTAGGTGGCCTAACTCAAATACCAATCTCAATTTACAGAAAGAAACTATGGTCACAAACTGCTAGTAACATTGATTATGGCTGACAAGAACCCTCCTCAGAACTGTGATGACTCTGCAAAATCCATCAGAAACACGAATTTCTACATCTTTTGATTTCCTTAGCCTAACTAACTTATAGCCCTAGACAGACAGACGTATATAAAGAGAGGGTATTAGTCATGGTCAATATAAGCCAAATACTTCAAGTCCTGCCTATTTTGCAATAAATTGGTCTCTACAGTGTTTCATCCCAAACAGAACCTCTATTACTGCTTAAGAATGCAACCATCACCCAAAGGAAATACAAGGCACTGGCCACATTTGACATCACTTCACACTTCCTAGGTCTGTGCACCCATCAGAGTCCACCAAAAACTGAGGATCTTGCTATGTTGGCACCCCAAACACTGTGCAAACAGTAAGAATACCCAAAGGCCTAATTCTTCAGTCATTTACATAATTTAAGGCATTGGTCTGTCTCAGTCCTAGATCTCTTCCTTTGCCAGCTGACTCTGCAAGACCTAGCTAACTCTAGGCTGCTCCAGCTGCTGTTACATGCATCATGTCTTCTGCCCAAACTGGTGTTTCATAAGCAACTCCTTCAGAAATAGTTAAGAGACAAGAATGCAGACTCTGGTTTAGACTGCACACATATTACACTCTTATGTCCCTGCTAGACACCAAAAACATACACTAGCTCAACTGGTACACAGACTTCATTCTTCTGAAAGCTCTACCAACAGTTAACACCATCACCGCAACAAGACTCTGCTGCAGTGGAACAGAGGGCACCAAACAACAGCTCTAAATCTTTAGGTGGGAGGAGTGAACTTCTACCATACTACTTAATCCTAAACTTCTGAATTTCTTCTAAAAACATGTGAGGTTTCATTTGGTCTAGGCTTAACAAATTAATTTCTTTCAGAGTAAGGTACCAAATTAACTCTGCAATTCTGCAGTGATGAATTTTGTAACTGCCATGTACTATTCAGACTGCAAGTTCAGAAGCAAAAAAAAGTCTGAACTGCACTGGAATTAGGGCAACACATGAATAAGTTAAAAGCTTATAAGTACAGAGGCACATTTAATCAAAATGAGGTGAATCATGGAATTCTTTTTGGTTTTTCATATCAGCATATCAAAAATGAGACATGTTGGCACGGAACACTTAGGTTACATGATTTGCTTCAGCAAATTATTGCTTACTGTACATTGTATTGTACACAGGCCTCTACATAGTACAAGGTTTCTACCCAAAGCAGTTTGTGACTCTGAAAAATAGTCCTCAGCATAAAGGCTAAACTACAAATACAACCTTTTCAGTGCAAAGAGCTGAAACAAGTTTGCATCAAATCTGACCTTACTTTCTCTCCTTCTCCCCAATAAACATCCCACAGACCAAGGAATATCAATCTTTATTACATCTGGCAGGGAAATTCCACCTCAGTCTCTGGCCTCGTGCAAAGGGGATTCAGAAAACGTTGAGATTTTGGCATCTTGAAAATGCAAACACACTGAGCCCATGTGCCTTTTTGTACTTTGTAAAGAAAAGGGGAGAGAGGAGCTTGAACCAGAATTGAACTCTAACGTGGAAACAAATATTATACATAAAAATGTTTGCTACTTGGCATAATAAAGGGCAGACTCTAGCAACCTTAGCAAAAAATCAGTCTGCACTCACTGAGATTGCAAAACTGAAGCATGATTCAAGGTTAAAATCAGGCAAACCCATGCAGTTCTGCATTCACCCCAGCAGTCCTCCTGCGAGGCTCAGAAACTCTGAGCACTGACTCCTGGAGCTGCCCCTCCAGCAGCTTTACAAGGCCTATTCCAGCAACCCTCTTCAGCATCCCTGTGCCAAGACCTATTCCACTTCAATCTTTATATTTAGGATCAGCTTTAAGACAACAAGTGGCAAAGTAAATCTAAATATATAATATAATAATAATATAGCCAAAATATATAATACAATAAGCCTAAAATAAAAAAAATAATTAAACCCCCCAACCTGCTATTATCTTTAAAAAGACAGAAGCCCAAGGAATTAAAAGACCAATATGCTGAGGTGTAACTTGTACCCAAAGCACGATTTATTCAATTTATGTGCTCCTTACATACTGTTCTGCAGGAAAATGAAGGAAAGATATATAAAATAAGTTTAATCCTTATTGGATCTACACTGCTTAACTCATCATTACCTAGAGAAGTAGGCCAGCATCTACTTCTTGATTCAGCTTAAACTGATACCCTTCAAGCTGCCTAAAAACTTCATGTGAACGGATAAAAGGAGACAGTACTATCCCAAACTATGAGGACTCAGCCTAAGAAATAAGCCCTGCAATTTGCATTGCTATCAAAGTACTTACATTCTTTCACTGATGTAACTGACAGGCTTTGGAAATAATTAGCATTAACAACACAGGCGGTTTTGACTTATGAAGCACAGTGAATACATTCCAGATTTCTGGAAATGATTGTTTCTTTTAGAAAAAAAAACATGGACAAGGATCATGAGCAATGCACTCTTATAAATATCCACTGCCAGAAAACCTCAAGGTTTTTTTCTGATGAATTCAACTAGATAAACTTGATATTAGACAATAACTGATGTTGTGTGCCATGTAAGTGGCATGAACTATCACCAAATAGTTGAAATTAGCACAGATCAAAGGAATCCTACAGAGAGAATATAGGACAAAGCAGCAATTTTTGTGAATCTTTATCTCACTGAGTGCTTTAGCCCAGTGATCAAGAAAGGATTTGTTCCCTTTTTGACCACTCAAGTAGAATGTCAAGAACCAGCACATTTGGTGTGCAGATGGTATCAGACTGCCATCAGAGTGGCTTCCAACTCTGATAAAATATGCTGTGGAACACTGATTATTTCAGCTCAGAGCTTCTCATTTCCCTTTGGGTACCTCACACACATAATTTGAGCAGGCAAGTAAACCCTTACTTTTCTTGTGAGAGAAAGCAGCAGCAAATGGGAACGTGCTCAGCTCCTCTGAGTGCTTCTGGAGTGAAGGGTGAGAGATTGAACCACCCCAGTGCAGTTCTGATGAGATTTATGAAGATATCAACTCCCTTTCAAAGCCACAGCATCAAAAGCTGAGCAATCTGAAAGATCAAGGGCCCAGACTTATTCTAGTACATCAGAGATTATTGTTAACATCATAAATTTGGCTGATCAACTTAAAAAGGGACTGAAAGGGGCCAGCTGAATTCAAAGTGACACACAAGCTAGTTAATCACATCCTTGTGAAAATTCACCGAAAAATGGTAAGCAAGACAGTAACAGTGAAACTAAAACCAAGACACTTAACTAAGCACAGCCTGTCATACCTTGCAAAGATGCTTGTAATTCCAAAGAATAGCATTAAATTTCCTGCTCTTTTCTCCTCTGGAAAAAAAAAATGTACTACTAAAGAACAAAGAGGATGACTGTTATAGGCCACAACCTGGATCTCCTCCAGCACCTAGGATTCTCACGCAATAATACTACAGCAGCTGCAATTCTTCAGACTAAGGAAAAAAATTAGCTCTCATGTCTGTAGTAGAACTAGTTACTTCATCTGATATTTTCCAGTCCTAAGTAAGTGTAAAGATATTCACTGAAAATGTTTCTTCTTACTTTGAAAATAACTCTTACAAACAAACTCTAAGCAAAAAGAGAACTGTTGCTGGAAAGGATAAACTTGGGGTTTTATGCTTAACACCTATCCAAAGAGTTT